TAAACACATGGTAGCCTCGGTTTCTTTTGTTTCAACAGGGACGTTTACTAAATCACGTATTTCCCTCATTACCCATGCATACGCTTTTGTCTTCTAAATTTCGGGGATATTTAGTTGAAAACAAAGGATTTCTTTGTCTTCTTGATAAGGGATATTTATTACCTCGTTACCTCTGATTGGAGAGCTGTACCTCATCGAAAATCATCGGCACAACTATGGACAGTATCTGACGACACCGTCCCGTACACATTCGAACAATCACTTTGCCAGCTTTTATTCCCTAATCTTGAACATTTCAATTGTGGGAGAAAATTCCGTTTATGCGCATGCCTAAAACGAATGAACACGGAGATGTGTTTCTGCGCGTGCGTATATATGAAAAGTGTTCGTACCACAATCATAAGACAATCAAACAGCATTCAAAACAGGCAACATACCACGCGCAATTCCCTCGGCTACCATGTATATACAAAAGTACTAAGGCTATTGGTTCGCTCAGAAGGTATTTTGCTGTCAAAGAACGAAGTTTTCCTGTGTTCCTGTTGATTGTTCCTGTTTGGTGTTTTCGTGTTGGTGATTCCTGGTCGTGCTGCCTGGTCCTGCTGTCTGGCCGTGCTGCCTGGTCCTGCTTGGTCGTGCGGCCTGGTCCGGCTTGGTTGTTTTGGTCTTGTCTGGTTACCTGGCCTGCCGTATCTTGGTAACCTGAAGTTCAGGCCCTAATTTGAAATAGGGCTTGACACAAAACCTATCTAAACCGTGGGACGCCCACATGTCATTTTTAGACACAGTCAAACAATATGATTGACAAGTGTTGTAGTGTTGTAGATTGCACGAAAATAAATACGAAAAATATAAAGATATTCATTTCATGTTGGATTATTTGTTTTTTTATTCTCATGAACATTGAACCGCTGAGTGTGCATTTTGCTTTTTAAACTTAAAAATTCAAGGTACTTTTAAGAGTTCAGTTTCTCTATTTATTAATTTAACCGAACAGCAAACAAAGATTTAGTCAGTTCTGTGCAAGGACTGAATGCAAATAGTTTTGTTCTCTGCGATCTACTTTCCGCAATTGGAATTAAAGTGCGTCAAGAGTAGAGTAGCTAAAGTAATTTGTTTCATCATTTATAAACGAGGGATCTAAACAAACGGCTTGAATACCAAGCTTTCTCAAGGTCTCAACTTGCTGGACGCGGATATACAATTTTTAACAGGATAGCAACAGCAATAACGAAATTCTTTTATATCGTACCATGACGAAGGCGATATAGCTCAGAAAACAACGCCGGTAGGACCTGATAATAAGACTTTCGCCGAAGCCAGTTGGCAGAACGGCAAAGACATCTTGGGCCTTGGCTGTCAACAACAAGCTTTCGAATACATGACTTTTGCTGTTCTTTCAGCGTCGTGTGTCCAAACTTCGTCAAAGATTTTGATAAAGCCCTTTCAAAATACTGTGTGTTTGATTTATTTTCTGCCATAAAGCATATTAAACAAAAGAAATTCGAAGAAATTCGACAATACTATTACGATATTAATCACAATGGAATTTGATCGTTTGACCTTATCACATTGACCGAGCTATTTATAAAATATTGTTTATGAGAACTTGCAACCAATCAAAATCTTTCATGACGCTGATCAACCAATCAGATTTCCCGTCCACCAGATGGACGGGAATCCCTCGGTTTAGATAGGTTTTGTGTCAGGCCCTATTCTAAATTAGGGCCTGAATTTCAGGTTAGTATCTTGGTGGTTCCTTTTTCCAAGATTCAACAACGTCCGGCGGCAAATAGTCGCTGGGCGGGGTAACATTGTTTATTTTTCTTTTAAGTGTGTTATTTAGGGAGTTTTGTGTGGTTTCTGGCTGTTCCCGTTTGAGGGGCCTATTAGGGGGATACTCTAAGGAAGGGGTCTGTTCCTTTCTTTTTCGTGTTTATTTTGTGTTTGGGGGACGGTGCTTGACCGCCCTTAATAGCCAGGTTCCTCGATTGTGAGTTTCCTTGGGGTAATATTTTGTGTATAATTTATTGTGTGGGGCTACCCTCATATTTGATAGAATTTCGTGCTTTGTGTTAAAGTTGTTATAAGCATGAAGATTCCTTTTTCAAATCGAACGGTGGATGTAGAGCTTCCTAATACTCAAGGGCAGGCCAAGGTAACTGTCAAAAACATAATGGAAGACTTCCATCGCCCAACGGGAGATAATTTTCCCAAGTTATTCGAGGCTTTTGTCTTATTATCGCCTCGCAAAGTTGGTATTACTTGTCGCACCGCATTGAATATGGAAGAAGTGTGTCACCTCGGGCTTACGTTTCGAGATGTTCGTCTAACGTTCAACCCGGTCAGGACGGCAAAATGGGTAAACATTACGCGCCTGAGTTATGGGATTCCCAATGAAGCGATTGCTGATGCTTTGAAGCCATAGGGCAAAGTCATTCAGGTTAAAATGGACTCCTTTCATGGAGTTTATGTTGGGGTCCGTCAGGTCTTAATGGAACTGTCTAAACCCATTCCTTCGCGGTTGACTATTGCAGCTCATTCCTGTAACTGTAATTGTAAATGTTGGTCAGGTTCAAACGTGCTTTTCGTGCCACCAGACAGGTCATATGACTAAAGATTGCCCTAATCACGCGCGTTCTACAGGCAATATCATCAATGCAGATGGTCCATTGACGGGAGTAAATCGACCGTCGACCAGTACAGTACCTGAAGAACGCATTGGTGCCCATGGTACGGGTAATTTGGTTAGGCATACCACTGATGAGAGCCACACGCGTTTTCCGCAATTAACAGATGCATGGTCCTCAGCCGTCCATTACAGCTAGTAATGCCGATAGCCATAGTCTGGGCTTGCATGCTAGTTCTACAAATAATAATCTTGGTAATCAGCAGTTGAACCATTCAGTCACTCATTCTGATGTTCCTAATGCAGCTGTTAGAGGTGATAAAAATGTTCGTAACATCAATAAAGGTGGGGTCACAGCTACGTTACCCCCGTCCTCTACAGCAGTTTCTTCTCCCGTGGTTCAGCCATCTTCTCGTAAAGTTTCTGACAACTCGGAAGATGAAGATGAATTTGTTGATGTCCTAGAGGAATTGCCATTACCAGAAGGTGAAGGTGGCGAGCAGCCAGTTTCTATAGTTTTTGGGAAACGCACAAGGGAACCTGATGACTCAGATGTTTCCAATATTTCGGAAAAGCGAGTCGATCGAAATCCGTCTTCGGATGGGAGTGTAGTTGAGGATGATTTTGTCCCTTCTTCTCTGCCTCTCCCTCGTAGTCCTTTGGCTCGTTTTTCCTCCCCCAATTCGTTTTCGTCTCTTAGTGACGAAGTTAATCCCATATCCATGGAGCATTATGCAAATGGTGTTGCAATTCCACTTGAAAGAACTACATCTGTGCAGAGGAAGGTTCGTACCCGCAAATCGCAAAGGCCTTCTAAAGTGGATGATTCTTTACCTCTTCCCTCCGCTCCTCCTGCGGATGACTCTGTGTCTATTGCTTCCGAAATCCTTGGTACGTCCTCCATCGAAGCTTATGAAGGCGGAGATGAGGAGGATGGTGGTAATGATAATATGGAACCGTCTATGGCCAAAGATAAGGAATACTCTAACATACCTGAAAATGGATCAGAATTTAACACGGCTCAGGAAAATGATACTCAGACTACTCCCTGAACTCATATTCCACCGAACCTTTCCAGGAAGGAAAATCTTGATTCGGAATCTCTATCTCCGATTGATCCCGTAACCTTTGCGTTTCCGGTAACGAAAAGGATTGGCGATCCTTCTTTTTAATGTCAGAATTGTTTTCACCTTGTGTCCTCGTTTTGACCTTTACAACAATCGACATGAGCAAGTTAACATTTTTCACACTAAACTGTCGGGGTCTGCGCACAGCTGGTAACAGAGCAACGTTGTTTCAGTGGGCAAATTGCGCTAAAACTGATTTTGTCTACAGGAGACTCATTCAAGTTTCGAGGAAGAGTTTTCATCTTGGTTGGATCATGCCACCTCGTCGGCCTGTAATAAGTTTGGTTACAAATGCATTTCTTCTCCGGGAACCATTCTCAGTTGTGGGGTTGCCATTTTATACAATCCTAGTTATGATGTTGTCAGTTGCTCTCGTGACCAAGATGGTCGGCTTTTGTGCGCAGAGTTTTCCAAGGATGGTAATTTGATCCAGTTGGTGAACATATATGCTCCAAATACCGCAAAGCCTGCGTCTATTTTTTTAATCATTATATCAAGTGCTTGATCCCGACACCCCGACGGTGTTGTGTGGCGATTTTAATACTGTGGTGGATCCGATCAAAGACCGTTTTGGTTGTAACTCTTAATCACCCTCGGCGTATAATTGGTCAGTGACTTTGCATCACTTAATGTCCACGTATGATTAGCACGATGCATGGCGTACAATTCATCCAAATGCTCAGGAGTACTCTTGGCATCGCCTCGACGGCCGTCAAGCCTCGCGAATAGACATGTTTTGGCTTTCTGCCTTGCTCTTGTCTTGTGTCAAGCGTGTCGATATCCTTCCCTTTTTCCGCTCTGATCATTCCATTGTATATTTGGAGCTTTGTCTTCCGTCCGGCACCCATCGTGGACATGGTGTTTGGAAGTTGAATACTCGGCACCTTTCAGATGAGTCCTTTGTTAAACTAGTGTCGGACTTTTGGTCATCTTGGAGAGTGTATAAATCTTCTTTCTTGTCGCTTACTGCGTGGTGGGATGCAGGCAACGCGCGACTAAAACAATATATCCGTGAATTTTCTAAGAAAAAAGCTGTCAGCCGTCGAAAGCTCATTACATCGTTAGAGCATACCTTATTTCATTTGAACAGACGTCTGCTCGATGGTGACGAGGTCCTTCCAATCATTGAAGATGTTAAAAGTGAACTGGAGGCTGCTCATCGAGATCAAGCGAGAGGAGCCCGTATTCGCGCAAACGTTCAATGGGCAGAAGAGGGAGAAGCCTCTACCAAGTATTTTTTCGGATTAGAACGTAAACGTGGTCAACGCATGCAGGATCTTTACTTCAGTTAAAAACATGGCCGGCACGCACGGTGGTTTCTACCTTCGTAGGTATCGCTCGGGCGTGGGTGGCCTTTTATGGTTTACTATTTACATCGCAAAGCCTAGATCGAATTGAACAAGACTTCTTCTTGAATTCCTTGTCAATGCAACTGTCCAGCGCTGAACAAAGTTTGTGTGAAGGGGGACTAACTGAGGGGGAATGCAAGAGAGCACTGGATGCCATGGCTACTGGTATATCCCCGGGCCTTGATGGACTTGCAGCTGAGTTCTATCAACGTTTTTGATCGCTTCTCGGAACTGATTTTGTCGATGTCATTAATTTTGCTTATAATCATGGACAATTGTCTCCCTCGCAGCGATCGGGGGTTATCACGCTCATCCATAAGCGTGGGGATCGTCTTGATATGAAGAATTAGCGTCCCATTACATTATTATGCGCTGACTATAAAATTGTTGCCAAAGCTATTACCAATCGTTTGTTGGGTGTTATTGCCAAGGTAACTCATTCGGATCAAACTTGTGGGGTGCCGGGCCGGAATTCGTTAGAAAGTGTTCGTTTGCTGAAGGATGTGGTTTTTCATGCCAATCAGAATCGTAAAGCAGCTGCAATTATTTCGCTGGACCAGGAGAAGGCGTTTGATCGGGTAGAATGGGGATATTTTATCCCGTGTATTGAAGACTATGAATTTTGGTCAATCCTTCCAGAAATGGGTACTTTTATTATATTCAAATATATTTTCCTGTATCCTGATCCATAGTGAAACAACTGAGTTTTTCTCTGTCTCTCGAGGTGTTCGTCAAGGCGTATCCCATTAACTCTACGTATTGGTGGCGGAAACAATAGCCAGTGCAATTCGTGCGGACCGTTTCATCGATAGTTACATCTTACCAAATGGCCGGACGGTAAAGTTATGTCAATACGCTGATGATACATCTGTTATCGTAACTACAGACTTGGCATTGAATGCTCTGTTCCATTTGTTCACACGATACGAGAAGGCGTCTGGGGCTAAATTAAATGTTAAAATATGTCATGGGTTGTTGATTGGTACATGGCAATCTCGTTCTAATCTACCAATTGCTCTGGATTGGTCCAATGTGGAAATCATTGTTCTGGGTTCTCGCATCTCTAATGATAATGAAGAACAATGGGTGTCAAAGATCAAGGCCTTGAAGACTACTTTGTCAGCTTGGAACCGGAGAGCGCTTTCCTTTCGTGGACGCGCTCTCATTGCCAATATGCTGGGGCTAAGTACTCTCTGGTATATATGTTCGGTTTCTGTAATACCTGAAGAAATCATTAAAGCTGTAAATGGGGAGGTTTTTCCGTTTGTATGGCGGAAGAAACGAGAATGGCTGGCTCGCTCCCCAGTCACACAACGACCTAATCATGGAGGTTTAGGCGTGGTGGACGTCCATCGTAAGATGTTGTCTCTGCATGTTTTATGGGTAAAGAGGCTTATTTTTCGTCCCAACATGCCGTGGACTAGTTTCTTTTCTCAATATCTCAAGCGTGCATTCCCTGGTCGCTCTGTTCACCAAATTTTGATTTTGGCGGTACTACCGAAATATGCTATGGACGCTCTCCCTCCGTTTTATCGATCTGTGATGACGGCTTGGTTTGCTCTGGAACGGAAGTTTGTGGACAATGAATACGTCATTTGCGGTCCTCGGAAATCTGTAGTCACGCTTGAACAGCTCTCGGCAAGTTTCGTCTATGACACCCTGTCTCACCAACATCGCAAGCAACATCGATGCGTCAAAAAGTATGCGAATTGGGGTCTTCCAGTCGATTGGTCAAAGTTTGGTTGTCCCTTCTTCTCTGGCGTTTCATAAGACTTGTTAGGGATACTTCCTGGCTGATTGCGCATGGTATTCTTCCCACCGCCGATCGTTTGCTGAGCTTTGGAATGCACGTTGACCCGTTGTGTCACACCCGAACGGAGTCCCTCATCCACCTTTTTACTGAATGTCCATTTGCTATTCAACTTATTGATTGGTATTTTTCTGTCTATAAACGTTTCCGACCACAGTCCCAACGTCCTTCTAAATGTGATCTTCTTGTTGGTTATGGCAAGAATGTAAAGATACCTCCCGTATTTCCATGTTTGTTGGGAATTATTCGCCACCACATTTGGTTAACCAGGAATAAAGCCAGGTTTGATAAGGTGATACCGCATTACCCTACGGTCCTATCGCGTGTCAAGTCTGCCTTACGATGTGTTACACGTGTTCAGCAGCGTCATTGTTTGCCGGCCAATTTCTCCAATTTCTGGTTGGCGAGTGGTGGTGTCGGCAATTTGTCCGCTGGGGACATTATTGTTTTTTTGCGGCGGAGTTTCGCGATTAATGTGTCTAAATGTTTCTCGGAGGCGTGGTGGTCGCCTTCATTGGTTGATACTGCCGTTTTCTTTTGAGATGTGTTGATATCTATCTCTCTGGGCACCGGGATCGTCTTCATTGGTGTTGTCTTCGTTGCCCTCTGAGTTGTGTTAGTACTCTTGTCCGTCAATGTTTTCAAACTTCGGCCTTTTTTACTGTTGTTTATGATGTTTTAATTGTGTTATTTTGTTGATACGTCATGTGGCTTGTAATGTTGTTTTGTTTTGTTTTGTTTTGTTTTGTTTTGTTTGTGTTTTAATAGGCGCTAAATAAAACTAAACGCATGCTTTGAGGGAAATTAGTGATTAAATGACCCCGCAAACCTCGGGAGGTTTAGTAAAAGTCCCTCGGGTCACGCCCTCGGGATTTTACTAAACCTCCCTAGGTTCGCGGGGACATTTAATCACTAATTTCCCTCAAAGCATGCGTTTACTTATAATAATTGGCATGCAACTGAAGTTACATCCTAACTTTCCCCATTGTCTTTTGCAAAAAATTCAAATAATTCTTTGTGATTGAGTCTAAATCTAACCCTTGTGCTTTTTGGGGATTTAAGGAATTCGGAATACCACAATCCATATATAAGAGGCAGGAAAGCAGGGAAAGCGAACTAATTATCTCCGAGCACCATAGACCTTTGGTGAGACGATATCGTATTTATGCGCATGCGCGAGTACAAGCCAAGAGAAAACTGGTATCGCACAAGCTTATATTTCAAAATTTTATTATATATTTAACAATTAGACAACGAAGCCGAGTTGTCTATGAGCAAATAGTCAACAAGGCAAAGCCGAGTTGACTATTCGCTCAGAGACAACGAGGCTGAGTTGTCTAATTGTTTTAGTATAAACGACATAAAGAAAACTAAATTTTTAACTTGATTTTTATGCAAAAATAATAACTTTTTAACGAAATGAGCGTTTAAATGGCTTCCTTTGGCTTTGGCGACATTTCGCCTCGGCCTTGTTGACAACTGCTCAGTTTAGAAAACTCTCAAGAATGACTTGAAAAATAGTACTTCGAAGTTTTTAAAAAAGTTAAAAAACATGTCTCAAAACAATATAATAGTAAGGTTCAAGGAGTTGAATCAATTCTAAAAGTGTTATTCTGTCACCGGTTTTGATGACATGTAAGCAGTTTAACCGCTATTTTGAAGTATTTTTTAAAGCTATCAGTTATCAAAAGAGATCAACTTTTACTAAGTTGACCAAATATGAACAACGACATTTGAAACAAAGCAACTGCCGAATATAAACCTGAAAAAATATTGAAGATAAAAAGGAGGAAGTTATAAAAAAGCAAAGAAAACAAAACGTAAGTACTGCAACAGGATGATGATAGGAAGAGTAATATGACACAAAATCGCGTAATATATTATAAGCTATGAGAAAAAGCATCAGAACAATGTTTTAATTGTTTATGTATGTGTTGCTGTAAAGAATATCGTTTATCATCTGAACCAAGTACTGCAGGTTGATCTGTACATTAAATTGAATCTTATTGAATGCCTATATAATAATATAATTAGATTATATATTTGGGTAATTGATATTTCTCTAGTTAATAGTATTAATTTTCCCTTTGGTTTTGCCATCTTGTGCAAAAATATAATCTAATCTACATAATATTTATGTTACCATGCCTACCACTTGAAGCGAACAAACGTTTGGTCAGAGGTTTGCTAATTGAAAGTGCTTCATGTTGAGACAATGCTTTGTATATAACTACAGTCGCATGTTTGGTTGGAAAGGGCAATGGGTCGCCGCATGTGCTTCTAATTCTTGTTTGGACGTGAAAGTATACCCAATGTTTTATGCATGGTTTGCGTCAATTAATTGCACTAATACAAATCATAGTGAGCTACATCGCCTTATGACACAAATGTATCTCTTTTAAACATTATAATTACGGCGATTTAATACAGGATTTGCACATCTTAATAAAGTAAGAATCGGACTCACTGTCAAAGGAAACAATACTTACTTAAACTTGTCTGCCACTCGGCACTTCACTCTGTGGTTTCCCAGACCAAGGTCAACATATTTTTGTTTATCCAGATATACATAATACTAAAAGGAAATATGACTTAAGTTTTAGGTCATGAAATGTATATCATATTTTTTTAGTACACAATGCATGACAATTTGGCTTATAGAACGTGTTCAAATCTATCACGGATATGTATCAACTATATATGGTACACGCGTAGTTGAATATATAAACACCAATTCAACATATTAAGTTCTCTGAAATCAGATTATTATTTTCCTACCAAACAGTTAGGATAGTTAATTATGAAGTCGCATCTTGTAAGTAAAGAAACAAATTATGGCACCATAGGAACTACAGGGTTATGCGAGCGAATGGATTTCAGTGTGGTTAAACGTGATTTACACCCTAGCTACCTGTAGTTACCGGTAACTTCTGTCTGAGAAAGAAGAATTTATTAATGCCAGCAGAACAAAGTCGGAGCGAATAGTGCAGAGAACGCCGATGCAGGTATTATTCTTCTTTTTTATATATAAACCATCTCTCAACTTAGTATTTTGATGCGTCGTTTGTGGCAGAACAGCATGTAAAATTATAATAACAGAATAATCGAAGCACGGAATTCAAAGCTGATAATAAGGTCATTTATCAATCCAGAAAAAATATTAGAAAAGTACAAAAATGTACAGAAAACGCACCTGATTCAATGCGTCGTATAAACTTTCATAAAGGTTTTCCAAATTAAGCAAGATCACCATCCTTCCTGTTTCCATACATACTTTAATTCGATTGATGTTTCGACAAATCTATAATTTGGTAAAGATGATTTATTTCTATATCAATATGACTTAAAAACCGACGTTATTTGATAATAGTTTCTTGAATCTAGGTAGCGCGCCTGCATGTAACCGAAATTCTAGCAAAGTAAACATTTATATAAAACATAACATTGAACATATATAAATGATTATCTGGAAGCAGTGGCGCCATTTTCTCTTTGGGGGCAATGAGCCAAAATGAATTTCGCTGGCGAAGGGAAAAATAGGTAACGCATGATTTTCCGTTGTTAGATTATTTAAATCATTGTAATACCATTTAACATTTTCTACTGTGGAATGACTCGATAACTTTGATTAGAAATAATCGTTTAATATGAACTTTAATAAACTGAGTCAACATGAAAGAACTTAAAGTGGAAGTCAAGTCCGTAATGTAAACAAACGGTTTGTTTACATTTTGAACTGCTGTATTTTTTTAAATATGATGTACTGTCTGAATATCTAACACCATTTTGGGGTTTGCTAGCTTCTAAATGAATATGAAATAGAGTTTATGTTCAGAAAAATTCGAAATATTCGAAATTTGGGCAATGTTTACATTAGAGAGTCCTCACATAGTTATGAGCAGAACCGATGCGCAGAACGGACTTGACTTCCACTTTAATTATATTTGTCAAAACAGCTGAAACGTAATAGTAATATATAAGTAATATATAAGTAATACATGTATGCTCTCTATAATAATATACATAAATATATTACTCGACTGTGACTGGTTGATTTCAGTGCAGTTAATCGCAAACAGCAGCGCAATTTTCTGTAATCACAGTGCCATTTTCTGTAATCACAGTGCAAAAATCTGTAACAAACTGACGTGATTGGTGGAAAAACTTTGTGATGATTAAATCAACCAATCAGTTTAATAAAGCAATTTAGTTTAAAGAAGTAACGGTGACAGATTGCTTCAAAACAAAGCAAACATGGCGCCGCGCTACACAAAGTAAAAGTTGCCTTCGCGTGGAAAATATGGCTTTTATCTTTATTTTTAAATGGAAAAGAATTTACCTTAAACAAGACTAACAAAAATTAGTCACATATTATTAGCACTGATGAAGATCCGGACTTACGGATCGAAAGCTTTGCAGTAATAAATTTACGTGGTGTTTCCACAAACAAAACTATTATATATTTTATCGCCATGCAAACATACAAAGAACTTAAAAATTACATAGTTGAGTGGAATTTTCAAGCTGTTAGCGTTGTATAATGTGATATAACAAAGCCAGCAAAACTTTGCCAGTGGTATGTTTCGAACATTTTTATGTAAATTATTAATAAGTAATAGCATGGCTTCTCGTGAAATTTGGTTAAACATGCACTCGTGAGTTTTTCAAAGACCTCAAATAGCACTCATCCTTTGGACTCGTGCTATTTTGACGTCTTTGAAAAACTCACTCGTGCATGTTATATCCAAATTGCACTCGAAACCATGCTATGACCTATACTACAAATTCCATCTCCGTGGAGCTGAATCACTAAAGCGTTTATAAACAAGTCTGTCAACATCAACATCTGCGGAGGAGAAAGGGTCTCCTATATCTATGGGTATGATCAACGACAACACGAAGTCGCACTCATGTTTATTTTTTCACACAGGCGTCCAAAATACAAAGATTGTTAAAGATC